ACTTGAAATTACTTTTCTTGTTTGTCCAGATTTCAAAAAAAAAAACGTTGCAGTATAGTAAAAGTATTTAATATACTAAAAGGTTCGGATAGAAAAATTTTAAATTACTTACGACACAATGCATGAAGGGTGCATTCGAAAACGTCAAAATACAAACCACAAACCACGTCTAAACCACACTAGAAAAAGAAGTCAACCTAGTAGGAAACTAGGATTTAACCGTGGTTGCACACATTTGGCATTACAATCAACTGAGGTTTAGAAATAAAAAAATACTTGTATTTTGACGTTTTGGAATGCAGCTGAACTTGGTGTGATCCACCCTATACTCACACTAATGACCCACGGTTTTCTTTTTGAGTCTCATAAATGGTTTATGATGACTTTCAAAAAATTTCAAATCAAAACTTATCAAGACAAATTATATGGGTCCAGGAAAAAATATTTTATACTTTTTAGTCCATTTATAGGAACGTGGTATATTAAAAAGTTGATTTATTTGATTTTTTTAATAAAAAACGTTATCTATGTACGTACTAGGCGCACTTATGTATATATCTATATGGGCAAATCTAAAACACAGGTAACCTTTGTGTTATTTAGCTTTATTTTTATTGTTGTAAACTATATCAAGATGGTTGCTCAAAGACGTATACTTGAATCCTCAAAAAAAATTTTGTTCAAGTTGCTGCATAACTTTTGAATTATAGGTGTTTAAATTAAACAAATAATGAAAACAAGTGAATTTTGTATGTAATTTTTAAGAGGGGCACAATTAGTATAGGGGAGTCCCTTAAACGATGTTTCTACGAGAAGTGATCCGCTCTCTAATTCGTAATTCGCTCTCTCATTCGTCATTGGCGCCCCCATTACGAACCGAATCACGTAATTCGGCATACAAAATTTTGAGAGCGAATCACTTCATTCGTAGGTAATTCAGATCGAATCACCATGCGAATCAAGAACAAATCGTTGTCTTCTCTAATTTGTATCGATAACGGCTGTCAAAACACATAGACCACACACATCCCGACCAGCACAAACATTGAAAAAATAGCTGGATTCGTTAAAACTATTGATTTAGTTATTTAACCACTACGAATGTTTTCTCCACCGTTGAGATGCTCAATAAAAAACACATTAAACAATAAACAAAGGCAAAGAACAAGAATCAGAGATGCAAAGTGAATCACGAATGTGTAATGTAAACAGGTTGATTCGCCGTTCGTAATTGAGAGAGCGAACCACGTGATTCGGCCGTTTTAAACTCGTAAAGTCATAAACCGCGTAAAACTCGTAAGTTTACGAGGCTTTAATGGGAACGCCCCCTTTGTGAAAAGGTGTAAATAGTTGCGTAAAGTGACTGTTTGACAGATCAACCAGGATTTTGTGAAGCAATTTTTGTTTCGTAGTATCTTCGATAACATCCCGCCATCTTGTCTCTATCACTCTTGGCTAAAATACAATTAAAAATGCGGAAAATTAGCAGAAAACCTAAGTCAATACAGCTAGTGGATGAAATTCATTCTTTTTATTTGCAAATTACTTTTTTCATTTATTTTCATTATTTAATCATATATTTTAGTATAAAAATTCAGCCGCTCGGCAACACTGAAGTTTACGAGATCGTTTGCGCATCAAATTTGCCTCGTAAATTTACGAGGGGCTGGTAAATAGAGCTCCATACAAATTTTGACAGTTCTATTATGTCATAACTTTTGAGCCAATTAGTACTTATGTGTACACTTCATATGTAGTTGGTAAGTAAAGTGTGCTTTAAAAAATAACTATTTAAATGGCAAGTAACAAAAAGTGTGTAACTGTACTTTCGACTGAGGGAGTTATTTATAAAATAGTTAAAATTTAATCAAATTTTCAAGTTCCTTTATCTGGAAAACCGGGGCCAATCTGGTAAAACGGGGGATGCCAATGAAATTAGAAGGTCCCAATAAAGTGAGTTCTACTTTCAAAATCTTTGCTCAGAAGTTACAACTTGCACAGCGTAATTTGAACACAAATTTTTTTTTGTTTTCTTTTTCTGCGATCTTAATGTTTATTCCTAGTCTAACTTTTGAAGCACTTAATGAAAATGGATTACACTTACATTTATCGATTTATTAAGAGATTACGAATAGAACCATATATAAAACATAGGTGTGCCCACAAATCAAAAAATGTAACTTTTTATTTTGAAGATGCACCTGTTTTTTAGAACTCTTTTATAAAATTTTGGAAATCAAATATTTGTTTCGAAAAGAGGATTTATAGACCTTTAAAATAACGTGTAAGGATTAGTGTTGGGAAGCATCGAGTACTTTTGAGGAAAGAGTTTTTTAGTATCGATACTTTTAAGGATCGGGTATTTTTCAGAGTACTGAGTACTTTCTTTAAATATATGTATACATACATGTTAGAAGCATTTCAATGCTTAGCTGGCAGCACTTGGTACAAGAATTGTACTTGACAACTATTGAAACTTTAAATTGAGTACAATCATTTCTGAATACCGGTAAATGTAAATAGAATTTAGTACTTTTAAGTATCTATTCGACACTTAATACCGAATACTTTGAAACGATCCTGAGTACATGTATCAAAGTGATGATACCTTTTAAAATTGGTTGCTGACGATCCTTTTGAGAATCGAGTTATGAGTACTTTTGGTATCAATACTGCCCAACACTAATAAAGATATTAAATGTTAAACTTAGACTGTTGGCTATTTTCATCGGGTAAAATGGAAAAGTCATTAATATTTTCTTAAACATGATTTTTACAATGGATCTTTGCCAAAAAATAGGCTTTCATACAATTTTTGAAACTGGGCCTAGCACCCACCTATATCAAACACGTGTATCCCGAAAATCATTGCCTATTCAATATCACGAGCTCCTCCCCCGTTACGGAAATTACAAAAAACTCAAAGCTAGCCAAATCTTAGGAGAGGTTTCTGTCCGATTTCGAAACTTTTGAAGATAGAGCTTACGGATGCCAAGAACAATGCGTATACTAAATTTGGTACAGATCAGTTTAGCAGCTTTGTTTATTTATTTAGATATACCTATACGATATAAGTGTGCCTTGCCTATTTTCCGAAAACTTTATGAAACCCTAATTTTTTGCTAGCGCCCCATTGTATTAATAATTTTTTAGCAAACTTTGATGAATTCCTTTGCCACACTGCGCACAAGAACTGAAAGTACAATACATACACGCATGTACATAAATTCAAGGCCGTATTTCTACTTTAATTGTTTAACTTTGACAGTCTGTATGCGGTTGCATTAGATAAATGAATACGTCATATTTGGCGACATTCATAGCAATTTTTAAAGTAGCGATGGTCGAAGTTGGGAAGATGGAGAAAAATATGAACTTCTTAAAATTTACCCGTCGAAGATTGCTAACAATCAATGGATGTTGAATAATAGATCTCTATACATCATTTTATACGCCTATAAATCCTCTTTCATAATATAAATGATTTTTCAAATTAGGTACAAAGATTAGTTTGTTTTAATGCCGAAGGCTTCACATCTTTGATGAACATCAGTAATGAATTTTTTGGGAGCTAAAGAAAATGATTAGAAGAGTTATATAACAAAAACACATCTCTGAGCAATCAGTGGTATGGAAGATATATTTTATAGAGCACCGATCTAAATGATTTTCACAGTAGGCTTTGTATAATCGATAAGTAAACAGGTCACACAATTTCGTGGTTTTAGCTGCCTAAACAACGGAGTTATGTAAATTTACATGGTTCTATCCCTTCTTCTTCTGGTACTCACAAACATTGGACCAAAGCTATAATACCATCTAATATATAAAATTCTCGTGTCACGGTGTTAGTGGTCGAACTCCTCCCAAACGGCCCTACCGATCTTTATGAAATTTTGTGTGTATATATGGTAGGTATGAGAATCGGATGTCAAGTATATTTCATACCACTAGGTGCAGAGCGCGTGGCACCTCCCATACAAACCAATTTTTTTATACTGCATATCTCTGGTAGTGTTCATGGTAGAGTATTCGGACATGGTATGGAGATATACGACAACAATCGCATACTCATAAAGAAAAATTGTGGTTATTGGAAAAGGGGGCGTGGCACCTTCCATACAAACCGAATTTTTCATACTGCATATCGCTGGGAGTGTTCATGGTAGAGTAGTGGAATTTGGTATTCATATATAAAATCAATCGCATAGTCATGAATAAAAATTGGGGCTATTGGAAAAAGGGGCGTGGCACCTCCCATACAAACCGAATTTTTCACACTACATATCTCTGGAAGTGTTCATGATAGAGTACTGGAACTTGGTAGTCCCATACAAACCGAATTTTTCATACTGCGTATCTCCGGAAGTGTTCATGGTAGAGTACTCGAACATGATATGGAGATATGAATATGAAGTGGAAGTGTTCATGGTAGAGTACTCGAACATGGTATGGAGATATGAATATGAAATCAATCCCGTACTCTTAGAGAAAATTGGGGCTTTGTGAAAACGAGGCGTCGCGCCTTTCAAACGCACTGAAACTATTACGTATCTTTGTATCATACACACTTTTGCTAGGTTATTTAAGACGGCAATGGAAATATGCCTTCTGACAACCACCAAACCATAATATTAGAAGATATATGCGTCACTGAAAATCATGAACGTGAACTGTTGGCAAAAATGTTAGACCAAAATGTTTCAATACAAAAAATTTATTTTGGGCGGGACGATGTTCGCCGGGTCTACTAGCTATACTATAAGAAACCTGTTATCACATTGTACTCAACTCTTCCTAAAACCTACACTAAGTTTAGATTCGGGTTTTTCCCAGGTTTTTCGCGCTGTGTTATTCTTATTTTTTAGTTTGAGATAATTGCAAAGATTTTATTAGTTAAGCGAAGTTACGTATTATTTTTGAAGAGTTTATTTCATTAAAAAATTTATAATTTTGCTTAAAATATTTAGTATTGAAATAATTTCAGATTGGTTACTTACCTTTCGATCGGCTTTCCTTATGGCGGTTATTTCAGGCTGTCCCTGTTGATGTGGCGTCAATTAGAAGAGAAGAAGAATTTGCAAATACAAATACATACTACAGTTATTCTCAATCAAAATTAATGAAAAAGTACTATGCTAGCTAGTTATAAATAATAAGCTCTAATTTGGCTGAAGCATTTAACGACTTCAGCAATGCCTAGCAAATAATATAAGCGTTATAGGTAGAAATCCTAATGGGTGTAGCTAAGCTGGCAAGCCTAAATGAGACCATGAGAACGGAAGTGGCCTAAACCGATTTTTTTTTTCTTTACTTACCTACTTAAAATGGTCTCAAATGCGATAAATTTTAAAATAAAAGTCGCTTATTTATTAATTTTAAGGTACAAAGCTACATATCATACCATCATATTAAGGAATAAATTACCTTTACTTTAAAATTTATCGCATTTGAGACTATTTTAAGTAGGAATTTAAGTACAGAAAAAATATTTTCGGGTTAGGCTCATATATACTTATGAAAAAATGTAAATTTTAGAAAGCATCAAATCCTGCTTATAGCGCTCTTACACGATATGTATTTGCATATGTTAGTGGTCGCAAACTATCGATCACACTATCGATAGTATCGAAGGGACATCACTATCGCAACTATCGATGGCGACTACTATCGGCCATATTGGAAGTTCGATACTATCGATACTATCGAGAAATTGCCATATTATATTATTGAAACGCGTTTGTGTGATATTTTTTATAATACTCGTGCGCATAGTGTAACAAAATATGGACAAATATCTAACTCACAATGTAAAAGGTAATGTGTTTGTTATAGATAAGTTTATATCGCATGTGTTTCATTATATAAAATAACTTTTAGAGAAAACTAGAGCTTAAGTCATGAAGTTTTTTGTACAAAAAAATCTCCGCATAAAATCATAAAAGTAAAAATGTTAAAGTTGTATAAGAAAGTAAACAAGAATTTAAGTAAATTAACGAACATTTTATAGTATCGTGACTTTTTCTTTTTTTCTTTAAAGCTTATTAATTTTTTATAAAAGTCCAGCTTATCGTCTAATGAAAACCATGTAAATCCCAATTTCAAACTTTGTGCAACAATTAATAAAATTCCTCACAGTTTCACCAAAATTTCAAACTTTGGAATCAGAATTTTGAGAAAAATGTTTGGTATGCAATTTTATAGTCCTTTAAACTTTAGTATAATAAACCGTGTCACCCATTTTGTTCTATACAAAGAAGTTCATTTTTATATGGAAGAAAATGCTGCATTCAAATTAAAAGAATGCATCCACACTATCGAGACCATCGCCGGCAGCGCACTATCAGGACTATCGATGGCACTGCACTATCGGAAAAAATGACTATCGGCACAATCGATAGTGACCCAAAAAACGATCATTAACTATCGATGGTGTCCACTATCGATAGTTTGCCACCACTAGCATATGTACATATGTGGTACATACGAGTAGATACAAAAAGTATAATTTACATATGCAAATACATATTGTCTAACAGGGCTGTTGGCCGTTGACAAGCAGCCATTTATTTGCAATTGCATTTAAGAACAAAGTATGTGACGTTCGTAATTTTGAAGTTTGCTACTTTTGTTTTGTTGTGTTTATCTCTTTCTTTATATGTATTTTTGAGGTAGTTTATTTCAATATCGAAAGTGATTTATAAGCGATTTTCAATGCATTTTTTATCCAAGCATAATTACAAATGAAGTGCGTGGCACACGTTTTGGCCGGCATTAATTTAGATCAGGGATGGCCGTCGCAGTGCTTAAGCACACTGGATGCCACTCCACTGGATGCATATCCAAGATTAAAAAGTCCACAATTTTTATGGAAATTTTTTGCATTTGTCTAGAGTTCGAAAGTTTGAATTAATTTTATGGTTTTGGCTAAAGCATGAAAAATATTTTTATAAAATAAAACAAAAAATTTTACTTCAAAATCATTCTGAATATTAAAAATAAAATCACCATGCATTCAGTTTTGATCGCCAGTGTAACTTTGTTTTGTTCAAAGGATATTGCATTTTTATTTTCGAATGGGTTTGTTGTTCAATAAGCGAATAAATCCATTTTTTGTTGAATGAATTTTGTTTTATTTGTCCCCCGAACCCCCTAATACTATTAGAAACTAGTTATTTAAAAAAATGTTAAGCTACGAATTAATAGTTTGTGGTACTGCTTTAGGGAAAACTTATCCCTATATATACGGTGACCATATTTATGGGAGCCGAATACGGGACAAAAAATAATTTTGCAAATTTTTTCAACAAAAACTTACAGATCTTAAAGTCCAAGATCCTAGATTTCTGAACCCTGAAACAGCATCCTTATAGTAACATCTCAAATTTGTGGGATATTTTTCTAGAAATTTTCAGCCAGCGAAATTTGTTAAACAATTCGTTAAATTTTAGTATTATAAAGTGTAATTTTGAAATCTTTAAGACTTTTTTGGCAATTTTTTTGTTGACGGTGTAACGCAGTTTTTCATAAAAAGAAGGTATCTATGTTCAACCATTTCTTTAAAGGAGATGCAAATGAGCATCACTTTCTACTTTCACTTTATTATACTCGAATATAATGAGCTACAAAACTGCAAACCAAATATTTTTTCTAAAGATTCTAATTAAAAGTTTTGAAATTTTGGTGAAACATTGCAGAATTAATTTTTAACGTTGTTTTGCACGAAGTCGGAACTTTGGATTTATACGGTGTTTATTAGGAAAAGAGCTTTACTTTCATAAAAAAAATAATAAACATTAAATAAACCAAAGAAAAATGGCCAAACCTTGCTAAAAAGTCGTGACCTGATTTATATTTTGGTCAATGTATGTATTCCTCAATTCGAATCACACACGGTGGGCAGGAAGCGAAGATAGGTTGCATAAAAATGTCGACAAAATCTGAAAGCAGGGTTGTATTTGTTGATATCTTAAGATTAAGAATCCGCTTAAATTGAAATCCTAGCTGCTCCTGTTTTAAAGATATCCACATTTTATATACTTCTGATAGGATATATTTGCAAAAGAGGAAGGCGTACTTCTCGATAATTAGAGCATATTTATACGAAAAGAAATCTCATACAAATCTGTTCCCCTTTTTTAACTCACTAAAACGGATCAAATCAATGTTCAGTTTTCATTTTTTCCTACCGAAAGAATAATTGATCGAGATTTATTGGGCGCTACCGGTATACAACTTAGATAAAACACCACAATTACCTTTTTCTGTAGCGTGAACTTTCTCATTACAAACACTTTCAATATCGCAATATATGTATGTATGTATACAATATTGTATGCTATATAATACGGTAGTAATTTTTTATTAAAAGTTTGTTGCTATAAGCAAGTAGCGCAAGCAAGTCGCACTGCGCTTGTGCAAGAAATAAAAATGCTCTAACTTAGGCCAACGGTACTCCGCATAATAAGTAAATAAATTCAAAGCTTGTATGAGATTTATTTTGGTATTTATGTACTCTTCTGTCAGGAAATAATGACTATTGTACATCCAGAACACAAATGCGATCATAAAGAAAATCGCATGAAAGTATGCGCTTTGTGTGTAGGGCTGCCAGACGTCCTGGTTTTCCCGGACATGTCCCGGTTTTAGACTATTTGTCCCGGTGTCCCGGTCCAACCTTAAAATGTTAAGTGTCCCGGTTTTCGATTTGATTGCACAAATTTTGCTTAAAATGACTACGCTGAGAGAAAAAAGGCGTTGTAATATTAAGAAAAATTTTATGAATTTACTGGGGGAAATAACGCATAGTAAACATGAATATGTTTTATTTGATTATCGTTTTGAAATGTTCGTACTTAAAAACAATACTTTCATACCACGCACACGTGGCGTTGAATCAAACTGAACATTTGAATGCACATTTACATGTCTGGCTGTAGCTGAGTGCACGAAGATGCTTGCCACAATTTGCTAATTTCCAGAGCGTCAGGGTTCATTACAGACAGCATGGAATTTAAATAAATTTTTTTTTAACTTAATTATGAAAAAGCATCCGTTAAGTGCAAAGCGCTTCATTTTAATATTGGCGTATTTCAATTGAATATTTCTATATTAAATACTAAAATTTGTATACTTAAATTATTACGAGTTGGGTTGGTGCTCTTTCAAATGCGATTTTTTTTTTTAAATGTAGCACGTTTTGCATAAGGAATAGTTGATGATTAATATAAGTATGTACCCAAATACGTTAAAATGACATGCACAGAGTTTTACAATTATAGCAAAAGCCAGAAGGCTTGAAACAAGCTCACAGCAACGAAACAAATGACTGATATTTTAATGTTGCCTTGTATTTATTTTTTTTTTTCGTGAAATCTAGATCACTTATAAGTACCGTGCCGTACAAAATTATTGGCTCGGAGACACTTTCATCTGATCACAATTTCTAATCAGATCTTTTAGAAAAATGTTTAAAATGTAGCTTTTGAGCCAATTAGTAAAGTGCAAGTCTGAAGTTATCAGAAAATTTCGTTGATTTTTTGCAATTATTTATTTTTTGCTGACAGTGTCTTCCACATACAAAAAAATGTCGAACATAGTTTGTATGGAAGAAACTCTCAGTAAAACCAATACCAAATATATTGCCTCGTTCAAAGCCATGAGCAAAATCGTGAATACATGGTTTTCCGCATAACAAGCGGATCTTAGTAATTTTGATAAAAATCTTAACGAACTCCGCACAGCTTTGAAAAGTACTGGAATTTCTCAAACTGTCAAAACCCATTTTATCCTTAAACATTTAAAGCAATCTATTTCATTCTTGAATAACGATGGTTTAGGATTATGGTCCGAGCAGGCCGGGAAGTCAGTTCATAGGGAATTCATTAAATTCTGGGATGGATTCAAAATAAATATGATTGATAAACCAACTTTTGTGAGTCGCCTGAAGAAAACTGTAATGACATTTTCATTCCAGCTTATATAAAAACTTAACTAAATAATAAAATATTTAAATACTAAAATGTGTGACTATATTATATGG